CATGCGTCATCCAAACTGCCTGTATAGACAAAGCCACAGACATATTTCTTTGGGCCTGAAAAAAGATGTGGCTGCTTTAATGAAATGAATAATTCAGTCAGTCAGCCAGCACATCTTGAAGCATCCACATCTTTTATTTTTATTTTTTTCTGAGTAGTGAATGAACAAGCAAATCATGTCTGAGTTATAATCAACACCCAAACTGATTTCAGGCATATCTTGGGATCACTTGCCAAGGAGATTACTCCAACCTTTCCCCCGTTTTTTTGGTAGATTACTCCAACCTTTTTCCTTTTTAGCAGTTTTCATGAAACCAGAAGCTGGGAATCAGGGCTGAGAAAAGAAATGGGATTTGTTCCTTTCCTTATTAACCTAAGAATTAATTGATTAGAATCCCAAAGGATCTGGAAGGAAGTCCAAGAAATACTGAGATAGAGGGAAATCTGTTTCAGGAAACAGTTGTCCTTGAAAGAACAAGTAAAAAGTATTTTGCTAAGAAATATTGTGTGTCATATTAAATTTTATTTTGATTATGTATACATAAGTCTAATATTTTGTGTCAGGTGTTTATTTTTTTCTGCATAACTTCTGTATTTTATGCAACTCAGAATTTCTTGGCAGCAGACCTGCCTCCAAATTAGGTGGAGACCAGGTTCATCTTGTTCTATTTTGGCTAGTGGTGGGGAGATCCTTTTAACTCGCAATCTACTATTTGAATAGCTCTATGTTTCTGTCTCCTTTGCCCCTGAGTGTTTTGCATGTGACTATTTAAACAATATTTTTACAGTTCTCTTTCCCTTTTGAAAAATAATCTTGGGTTTTATTTATCTCTTGTAAGATCAGTCTGTTTCTGAAGTAGGAAGGGAAGGGATGGCTGTTTCCATCGGTCATAAAATTCCATGGTATAAATCTCAGAAGTGGTATTATATAATATATTTCATTTTTTTTATCTCATTCTTTTTTGGGGGGGGGGCAGACTTTCCAGATAAGCAACCCAGAATGTGGGAGACCTAATCCTGTCTTACAATGGGTTTGGGCAGATAATGCCAGGTGAGATACCCTCCAGAAGATAGAGGGTGGCTCAGTAACTATGAAGCCAGTACACCACAGTAAGATATAAAACTACAAGTAGTTCTCGACTTGCATCAGTTCATTTAGTGATCGTTCAAAGTTACAATGACATTGAAAAAAGTGACTTATGACCATTTTTCACACTTATAACCATTGCAGCATCCCCATAGTCACATGATCAAAATCCATACACTTGGCAACTGACTCACATTTATGGCGGTTGCAGTGTCCGGGGTCATGGGATCCTCTTTTGAGACCTTCTGAGAAGCAAAGTCTGTGAGGAAGCCAAATTCACTTAAGAATCTTGTTACTAATTTAACAACTCCAGTGATTCACTTAACAAATGTGGCAAGAAGAGTTGTAAAATGGGGCAAGACTCACTTTCCCGCTTAGCAGCATAAAGTCTGGGCTCAATTTTGGCCGTAAGTCAAGGATTACCTATAGGGTCTGTAGATTCGGGGTTTCTTAGAATGGATATTTGAGACTTCCAGCCTTTCAACTTCAGACACGTCACCACATCATGGAAGCCTAAAATGGCACCTGGTTTAATGAACAGCAGACAAATATCTCCTTTAAAAGATATAGTTGAAACATCTACACGGTTAAAAGAAAGGATAGAAAACGTATCTGATATGTTTTGATTTACTGCCTGCAAATGCTTCTCTTTGACCCCTGGTTATTCCCTTCTTCTGGAGGGCAAAAGTCTAATTTTTTTTAAATCTGATTTTATGCCACTTAAGTCTCTTGCAAGAAGATATATTCTTGTGATAAATAACATTCAACTGCCAATTCAGTTTGTTCCCGTATAGGGATATATTAAAGAAATACTTTTTTAAATGGGGAGAGGGCACCATCTTTGCATCGGGCAGCGGAATGCTAGATACATATATTTGCTACCTGCGATATAGAATCTGTACTCATTGAAAGCTTCATATATAATGGTCTTTTCTGGAGATTTCCAGCAAATGTAGGCAGCTGAAAGTAGGCCTGAGAGCCACAATCCTTTCTACAAAAGATAGTAGTTCAAAGAATGTTCTATTGACACTGATGAAACAGAATAAAAAAAAAAGTTATTAATGATACTAAGAATGTTATGATTTTATTGCTTTTCAGTGAATGAACAACTAAATATACTATGAAGTCTGAGCATTTTCTTTTTCAGTTTTTATCTTATTTTCCTGGATGATATCTCCAGTTAAATTTTCTAGATTGAGACATTGATTACATTGCAGCTAATTCTCAGATTTTTTTTTTATCAGTATTAGTTGTGAACACAGCTGCCCATTAAATTAATTCTAAAAAATATAGTATTTTTAACTTGGTATAAATCATGGCCTACTGTTTTTTAAAAAATGATATTCTACAACATTTTGTTCTACGGGTCATTCTATATAGATACTTACGATTCTTTATGGAGACACACATTTATTTCAATAATTCATCAAACTAGCAACGTTTCTGAAATATATATTAATGTATGCAGATATATTCAGTTTATTGCAGAATGGTTTACTATTGCTTCATTTATCTACATAAATGCCCTCCCATTTAATGAAGAGAAATGAATAATCTGGACAAAAGAGGAAAACTTTTTGGAGACTTAAAGATTTATTGTAAAAGGAAGGTTAAAGAAACGTTTTTATTCTCCAGTCAAATAACTAGATAGGGTTGCAAAATTCTGTATGACCATTTGATGGAAACACAAAATATTATTTGCTGTTCGGGATTTTTTGCAATCCAGATCAGATAGCCCTAAATATTAATATTTCGGAGAGTTAACAAAAGTTATTATAAAGATTAATATGTTTGGAGCAGTTGAAGAAAGTCTCTCAGAAAACAAGCTATAGTAATTTCCAGATGCTACTTAACTACCACTTTCAGCAGGCTCAGTTACAAAGAGTCATGATGTTGGGAGAACTGTTTCAGCAATGTCTGAAGGAGCATCCAATCTTCAAATCTGCTATACAGGTTATACACAGCTACAGAAAGAAAAGCTTTGCCTGCACTGGATATGTACTGCTTTTTCAAGTCAATCTTGTCACGTAATGATGAGTCCCTGCAGTTTTCTCGGCCAACATTTTCAGAAATGGTTGCTATTACTTTCTTCCTACAGCTGAGAAAGAGCTACTAGCCCGACATCACCCATCTGGCTTATGCATCTAAGACAAATTTAGAACTCACGTTTCCCACCTCCAAGTCCAGTGCCTTAATCACTAGATCAGTCTGGCTGTGAGAGAACTGGTGGTCTGCCTAGATTTATTTTTAACATTTGGCATCCAAAACTACTTTTGTGATGGATATAGAAACTATCAGACTTATTAATCATTCATTTCTATCATACTTAAAAAAAAGCTAGTTGATATTACCATTATTTTAGGCATCTGTGTAAAGAATGCTTGTATTGGTCATTTGGAAAATTTAGTGAGATACAAAATTAGTTGTACTAAGAGTTGAACCCTGAATTCAATTGGGCTTAAGTTTTCCACTACGATGTTATTTCCACTGATTTCATAGATTTTTTTCCATTTATTGGGCCTACATTTTGATTGATTTCATTGCTATAAGCTACACAATACTATACCAAAAGGGAATACTTTCTTTTGGAGGGCTTATAAATCTGGCTTGTGATGCTGTTAATAACACCTGAATGATACTTTCATTCTAAGGTCATGAATTTGGGTTTCCGCCTCACTGAGATACAGGTATCCCTCATTTAATGCCTGTCCATTCAGTGACTGTTCAAAGTTACTTATGACCAGTCCTCATTGTTGCGGCTGTTGCAATGTCCTCATAGTCACATGATCCAAGATTCAAGTGTTTGGCAATCAGATCACCAATATGATGGTTGCAGCATCCTATGGTTGTATCATCACCATTTGCAATCTTCAGTACTGTCTCCTGAAAAAAAAGCCAATGGGGAAACCAGCAAGAGATTGCAAATGGTGATCATGCAATGGTAGGATGCTGGGACAGTACAGGGTTCTCCTAACAATGGCTAATTGGACAGCCGGGACTGCTACCGTAAATGACATTGTGCCTTAAAATTGTGTTGCTTAGTGATCCAGATTTTTGCAGGATCCAATCTGTCATTAGGATCAGAGATTTAGTTTTCTGAGCTTTGGGACTCATGCTGGAGCCCATCCTGATGAGTCACATAATGGTGAGAGAGAAGTTCCCCGAGGATCAGCTCCAGCATGAGTCCAAAAACCTGGAAGACTAAACATCTGGTCCTGGTGACTGACCCAGATTGGATCCTGCAACATTATCCTGGGATGGTATATTTGCTTTCATTCATCCAGGTTTTTATATGACAGGTTTTTTTCAATTCAAGTGGCTTGATTTAAGGTGATAGTGGATGATTTTATTTATATTTTAATTTCAAATGGCTTGATTTTATGGATATTTTTAATATACTAATAAAAATATGTATTTGTTAATCTTAATCTGAACTTTCAGAATGGAATGGTCTGTAGCTCCAAATAAAGTAATGTTTACAATGAAATGCAATATTGCATTTTATAGAATTTCATTGGCCACTTTAATGCATAGCGTTCAACCTCATTACTTCAACTGAAAGTGAAGTTATAGAGGTGTACCTCACAACCCATCACCAATTCCATCAAATATAGTCCATACTCAATTTGAAAAATCCTTGACATATTGCCAGTAGCTGCAGCACATCAAGGTATGCAGTAAAAACTCTTAGAGTTACTCCAACGTATTTGATGAACTATGTTGGCTTGAAGAGTCATAGATCGTATATATTTTGGTTGGGGATTTGAAGCTATAATTCTGTGTGAATGGAAGAAAAGAATCCCAATGGCACAGGCATCCAGAACAAGCCACAATGCCACTGTGTGTATTGTGAAGTCGTTTATGTAACAGTATCAGGATGTACATGATATGACTTGTCTGCCTTCCCCTCCTAGGGATACCCATGGGTAATTGTAGCCTTTAAGGCTGCCAGAACTGAAAAATAAAGGATGTGATCTACTCAAAACATATAAACAAAGTCTGAGTAAGTATTCAATTAAGAAAGATTATGCAAGGTTAATCAAAGTACTGTAATTCTGGTATCCCTTTGCACTGCATTTGTTCTTTTTGCTTCCAGTATAAATTGTTCAGTCCTGGGTTCTCCACTGGTCCAAATGTGTTAGGGATGACCGCCAACATTTTCTAGCCTAAACATTTTGCTTTTATACGAGTTGATCATTTGGTTCTGGTGATTAAAACCTCTAATATCTTTTTAGCAAGACAAAATGGTGGGAAAGGTATCTTCTTAGATTGACAATGACAGTGTAAATGCTGTTTCTTTCTCTTCAAAGAATACAGACTATTAAGATCAGCTCTTCAGACAGATTTTTTTTAATGGTTCTGAAAAATTTGTTCATTAGATTTTGTCTTCAAAGCTCCTCATGCCAGAGGGAATCCACTTTTGTGGAGGTTTTCTTCCCAAGTACAAGGGAAATGGCTCTATTTCCCTCAGCTACATGTAATTCTTGATTTACAGCCATAATTAAGCCTGGAATTCTGGTAGTAAGTCATTACAGTTGTTAAGTGGGTCACTACCTGAACAGGCTTGAATTTATGACATTTTTTGTGGTGGTTGTTAAGCGAACACTATGGTCATTAAGCCAATTCATTATACCCAATGGGCTTTTTTTTTTTTTTGCCAGAAACTGGAAGTAAAGGCCGGAACCCAGCAATGACATTGAAAATTGCTGTCATGTGACAGCGAGATGCTACAAATAGCCATAAAGGTGAGCCAATTGCCAAGTGACCAAAATGCAATTGTGTGTGTATGTGTGTGTGTGTGAGAGACAGAGACAGACACAGAGCAGAGAGAGAACCATAATAACTTCAAAATTGGGTCATAAATACCTTTTGGGAGCTCCTTTGTAATTTCGAATGGTTGCTAAGCAACCTGTTGTAAGTTGAGGACTATTTGTATTCAGTCCCATTTTGTGTCCAAAATCTGGGACCATTACTCCCATAGGATTGAAATTTCAAAATTCTTCGTACCATTTGTATTGGGAAATTTGTAACTACTGCAGCATTACAGCACCACGCTCCAATGCAGCCACATTGCCATGGTCAATGGTTTTTTTAACTTTGAAAAGCTTAATAAAGCTGTTTTTTAAAAAAATCTGGATCCAAAAACAGTTCTTGCTAAAATTAACAACAGCATCTGAACTCAAAGAGTCTTCCAAATTTAGCAAACCTAACTGCTGTTGGATTGGTCATACCAGTAAGTGCAGCTGAATGGGAAAGAGAGTTTTATGCCCTAAAAAATGTAAAGATCTGTTTGAGAAATCAATGAATCACAGGATGCTAAATAATCTTATGTTGATTAGACAGCAAAAACACTTAAGAGTTGCTCCAATCTAATTGATTAACTATGTTGGCTTGAAGAGTCATAGATCATATATTTTGGTTGGGAATGTCTATATGATATATACGGTACTTTGTGGGAGGATTTTTAGCTTTAATTCTGTGGGAATGGAAGAAAAGAATCCCAATGGCACAGGCATCCAGAACAAGCCACAATGCCATTATATGCATTATGAAGTTGTTTGTATAATAGCATTGGGATGTAGGACTAGGTCCAGGTAATTCTGGATTAAAAGAGCAGGGTAGGCTTTTTTGGAATAATGGACAAAAGGAATCTCAGCAGACTCACTTAGATCATGAGCATCTGCAGTAAAAACTCTTGAAAAGCAGTAAATGATTGGCATAACCGGGAATCTTGCATCTGGATGGTTAACCACAGTGCCCATATATGTAGCATAGAGTTAAGTTTGGAATGTCACAACTTTAGCCTATAAACAATATGGTGATCTGACAATTCATCCACAAGACACTGATGAAGGTTTTGAAGATATCCAGGAACATTTTTCAGTTCCTTGATGGACAGTTTTGTAGCTTGGCTCTGCTTTTCTTGGGTTAACATCTTGTGTCTGCCAGACTCTAGCTAAGTTAGACCATAAACATAACACATCTGTAAACTGTAAGCATCATCAGAGAAACAATAAAATTATATGCTTTCGGACATCTACTTAAACCTTCAGCTGTGATGTCATTACGGCAGTTGTCAATGCCCAAATTTTGAACATGTAACCGTGGGGATGCTGCTATAGTTGTTTGAGGATTGGTGATAAGTTACTTTTTTCACTACTGTCATAATTTCAAACAGTCATTAAATGAGTGATCATAAGTTGAAGATTACCTGCATTAGCTACATTATAACAGGAATTTCAAGGCTTTGGGGACTGCCTGTTAGGAATTCTCGGAGCTGCAAATTGAGCATAACTGAAAGATGCCAAATTAGGGAAGGCTGTATAAGTTTCTTATTTCTTTAGTATTATTGCCACAGTCCTCCTTTCTGCTGGCTGTGCATTTAACTTGAGAGTAATGTGAAATAAAATTCTCCAAAGAAGTTTCTGTAATATTTGAGATAACTGCAAATGCAATCGTTTCCAGTGGAATAGCTTTCACACATTCAAATTCAATAAATTACTAATATGCATACAGAAACCATTTCTTACTGTTCCCTTGCTAGAGTTTGAGATGTCAGGCAGCCTTTTGAATTATAATCCAGATGCAGAGATTCTTGTTAGAATTACATGGAGTTGAAATTCAAAGACTCAGTTTGAAGGCAATTCAGTTGAATCTTATCTTCAGTCAAATCACCGGATCAAATTGTTGAATCAATTCTGTGTTTTGTTGAATCCAAGCTGGCGGCTTTGAATCAATCCACGATTTGATGGGTTGTCATGCGTGCAACTAAATACTTAACAAGAATTCAACCATTCAAATTGAATACATAATTGAATCAGTCCTCTGAAACTTACTGATGATTCAGACTGGATCAGAGGTAATTTGGACATTCCCAATACTAAACTTCTTTTTAAAATGGCTTTTGAGAGAATCTCATAAATGATTTCACCCACAGGCAACTTGTGAGTTCAGATAAATCTTTCTTGAATTCTTAACTGTAGTAAAAAATAAATAAATAAAAATAGCAATTACTTAGAAACAAGCAGCCCTGTTTAGGCCTAGGCTGCTGAATCAGAAAGTAAAGTGTTGTCTAAAGATGTTGGATAGTTAATTAGCTTTTAAAGATTTTCTTCTTGGACAAGAACTTGCGCTTTTTAAAGAAATAGAACATAAATGACTGAAAGAATACCCTTGCCTGAAGTCTCAGAAGTTACAGGTTAGGTGTGAATATTTATAAGGTGACCAACTTTTTTACAATGAAAAGGAGGACACAAATAAATTAAAGAAAAAAATATTGTAAAAGCTGGCTCGGCCCATGGAAGATCAACTGCCTGCCACACCCCGCCCGCAGCTACCCCGCCAGCACTGCTGCTCTGCCGTGTAAAGCGGGCCCCACGGCTCCCAAAGCACCAGCTGTGCTAGCTCTGGCCCTGGGGGACAGCCCGCTGTCGACACACCCCGCCTGCAGCTGCCCCGCCAGCATCACCGCCCACCCTGCGCAGCCTCATGTAGAGAGGGCTCCGCGGCTCCCATATCACGGGGGGAGCCAGCCGCTGCCGCCTCTCACGCCCCCACCCGCAGCACCCCAGCTGCCCTTGCCTCTTGCACCCGCAACCATTATTGCCTAGCAGAGCTGAAGATCAAGAGAAACTTAACCCTCCAGTGTCCTCCAGATATCTTCGGAACTAACTAGGAGATGGTGTAGTTGGATAGCAGGGAGGGGATGCTAAGTTTCTGCCAATTCGCCTTTGCTGCAGACAACTTGCATGTGCAAAGTTTGCCGGCTGGGTGTTTTGGTGCACTCAGCGGCAATTCCTATTGGCTTTCGAAAGCCAATAGGGGGAGTAGCACAGCTCATGCAAAAGTTGAAAAAAAACCATCAAAAAAAGGTGCCGGAATGCCGTTCTGAGCATTCTAAGAGAAAAAAAAAGCCCTGCAGATTAGTCTTCAAATATCAAAAAGGAGGACATGTAGGAGGACATTTTTTGAGGGAGGACAGAACTTACAAAAGGAGGACTGTCCTCCCTAAAGGAGGACGGTTGGTCACCTTAATATTTAATGCCATGTTTATCAGAAAAAAACTACTGTGAATATCTCCTGTAATTTGGTTTAGCCCAGTGATGTCCATGGTGTTAAATCACTGACTTCAAAATCATTGGCACAATTGGGTTATTAAGGCCCAGTTCTTTTTCTTAAACATGCATGACATGTTTTGCAGATGTGTAAAAAAGGCAGAGCTAGGATCATCCAGACACATCTGCCATTTTGAAGCCAGTGGCCATTATTATGGACAACGTAGTTTAGTCAGAGAAATGTATGTAGTTTTTACCTGCAGCTTTCTGTTACAGATGTGTGCCTCTGTACGAAATGATATTTTCTCCCCAAATATTACCAGTGTTTGTTTTGCTACTTATCCAAAATGAAGTTTGTGTGAGTAAGAAATACTTTGAGGCCTGGAAACCTTACTACAATATCTAAAAGCCTTCTAATTATCAAGGATAATAAATGTTTAACTTTTTACAGCTCTTCATTTCATTTTTTTCCTGATAAATTCCTTTCAGTTAGATCAGTGCTCGTGTATAAGTAGTTTTTAACAAATTTGAATTACATTTTTATCATGAGGGATTTTTTTATGATTGATATGTCTGAGGAGAATCTTAATTGAGACCCTTCCTTATCTTATTTTATTCTGTGCCAATGCATTTTTTTTCTCCATTGTTGTCTAGAATCTTGTCTAGTAGTCTAGTAATCAGACGTGTGAGAGAATCCCAAATCCTAAAATGCTTCGTAAGCTTATTTCTAACTGAGTTTTACTACCTTGAAATAAACATTTTGATTCATCTAATTATTTGCAAAATAAACTTTATTTTGGATAAACTCCACATTTGTTATTTAAATTGCCTGACAATCCCTCCCCCCACTTGTCTGAATACATCACCAAAATGCATTAAGTGATAAACTATGGTTTATAAACCAGAATGGCTGAGTTCATACAACAATGTCATAACCAAACAAATTGCGATTTGTGATATGGTTTAATGAATGTGTTCATTAGAATTAAATGTGAAAATAACATGTTCCAGTCTTGTAATATTCTGCTGTTTTCTGGAACAGGCCAAGCAAAGATTCTGGATGGTTTAGCTCTAGAATAATGGTCCACAGGATTGTCCAATGAATTATTCATTGAGACTGCTAAAGCCATTCTATGCTAGTAATACAATGTTCCAATTGATCATAAGAAATGTCCAGTGAGGTGTTGTTGATAACATTTTTGACACTGGGTTGCTTCTATTCACTTTAGCCAATAAAACAACAATTATACGTACTCATCTAGATTTCTCCAAAAATCATCCCTCTTCTAGTAATTACATTTTATTTATAAAATTGTAACTGAAACAGAATTCATGCATAGCTTCAGAGTCAGGATCTGAATCCAGAGTGTGGACTTTATCTCCAGATAAAATGGATTCCTCTGTCTGTTTTCAGAGCAGTTCTGAAACACTCACAACGTAATTTTGTTTTTAGTAGCTTTCTATCCAGCCATCTATTGAGGCTGTAGATAAGAGCTTATTTTAAAATTACGGTACTCTCTTGGACTAAGTCAAGGGTAGGGAACCTTGGCTCTTTTATGACTTGTGGACTTCAACTCCCAGAATTCCTGAGTCAGGAATGGTTCAGGAATTCTGAGTATTGAAGTCCACAAGTCATAAAAAAAGGTTTCCTACCCCTGGATTAAGTCATGAAAATTTGAGTTTTATTAGGCAGAAGACATAATCTTTGGATTATTCAACAGTGCAGAAAACTGGACTATTACACAGTTTTAACTTCTTCTAGAATCTGAAACCAATGGGAAGAAATAACCCTGATGTGTTCATTCCAATCAACATCAGAAAATGAAGTATGAAGAATTATATCTTAGTTTGACTTTTAGATAGAAGATATAGGAAGCAATGTTTCAACTAAGAAGAACTCTCTGGATGGATTCATATATAGTTCTACTACCTAGTTTGCATAGAACATAACCATGGTGTGATTAGGCTTCACATGATCACTATGAATTAAATTGTAAGAAAGGCAAAATGCCCAGAGTTGGAATAAGGATATCACAGGACTGAATGTTCAGACCCTATCCTTCCCTGAGGTTGGAGAATGTTTTTTTAAAAAAATTATCAGAAGTTTCATGTACTTGTTTAACTTCTTTTTTTTAAAAAAAAAATTGCAGTGCCAGGGGCTTCTCTTGTTTTTGTTTTTTGCAAGTCATAAAAATAGAGCTAGAGGCTATATGCTGCCCATGGCAACAGAGCAAATATTGAATGTTAGGAAACTGTATTTTTTTTTTTTAACTTGGAGCCAGAATAGTTGAAACGGCATAAAAGCATCCCTAATAAAATAAAAACAAATGAAAAGTTTTAATAGAAGCTGTTGCAGTAAGTTTAAACGAGCACTGTGGGTACGATAACTGCATCAGATGGTGTTATGAATTAAAAGTCTGAATTGTATCCTGTCATTTTCACTCCAGATCTTTACCCCTCTGGGGTATAACATAGGAACTTCAGTTTCATGTAATATTTTCCTTGGATACGCAAAGTCTTGTCTTCAGTGTTACATCAGCAATATAGCAATATGAACACTATTTTGCAGATTAAAGGATATTCTTAGGGTTACTTCAAATGCTCAAAATAATAATGTTGTTATTATTATTAGCAGAGTTACAGTTCACATCAAATCTTTCTTGCGCAAAAGCAAGTACCACTGAGTTCAGTGCTGCAGTCTTACCTAATGTTAAGGCCCATGAATTAAGAGCAGAACTTACTTTTAAATAAGCTATTTAGCAAATGTCTTTAGGATTTAAGTCTTTGAAATATAATCTTTATCTGAGGTATGTTTTTATCTGGCATATGAGCAATGGTGGTGCAGTGGTTAGAATGCAGTACTGCAGGCTAATTCTGCTGACTGCCAGCAGTTCAATTCTCACCGGCTCAAGGTTGACTCAGCCTTCCATCCTTTCCAGGTCAGTAAAATGAGGACCCAGATTGTTGGGGGCAATATTCTGACTCTGTAAACCACTTAGAGAGAGCTTTAAAGCACTGTGAAGTAGTATATAAGTCTAAGTGCTATTGTATGTGATTGTACGTGCATTTCCCACCCAAAAGATCACATGTCATTTGTATATACTGTATATGACCGGAACCACACTTTACATTGTTACAATGTGGTTTAGCTGGTTTTGGCTTATTGTTGTGTGAATCCTGCCATTTATTGATAAAATGTCTAACAATGCAGTCATGTACTGTAGCTTCTGACTTGGAACTAACTTACTTCTTGAGAATTAACTTACTTTTGATTGCTGTCCATAGGACTGCTTTGTTCATCAGTCTAAAGATAACAATACAATGAATTATGTATGAAGTCAAGGGAAGGAAAGCACAAAAGAAGAAATGCCAATTCCTTGAAATGCACAGCACAAACTACTCAGTTCCTAGTTCATCAATCTGTACCATGTTGTGGATAAAGACTTGCTTTCAACTTTCAGCTTGCTCCATTTTCATTGCTGTTATGCAGCTAATAATTAATATAGACTAAAAATGTTATTGTGTTTTAAAAAGTTAATAAAATGAAGCTATATCAACAAAGAGGCATTGTCTATGTGCTGAGGTTTTCTACCTAAATCTTCCAGTGTAGGGAACAGCTCCTTCTTCGTGTTCTGTAGTTGAATGGAAACGTGTTTGGAATCCTTTGGCCCTATAAGAATGAAATAAGGCTGCTTTGATCTGGATATGGATTGAAACATGGTTATTCCAGGCAGAAGTGGCACAGGAAGAATAAGAAAAGGAACAGGCCAATGCTTAGGGCATTGTGATGACATGTGTGGGCACTTGCACTCTGTGGTAGTTGAAACCTTTGAATGCTTTTTCAAGGGCAGCCCAATGTAGAGTGCATTGCAGTAATCCAGAGGGAGATGGTGCTGAGAAGTCAAAAAAATCAAGGACGGTCACACAGCCTCCATCCTGCTCCTGTCAGAGGTCATCTAAGAGTGCAATCAATACTATCTCTGTTCCATAACCTGACCTGAACTTTAACTGAAAGAGCTCCAGATAAGGCAGGATAGAAATCAAATAAAAATATATCTATACTTAGGAATCAGGATTTTGAATTCAAACCCACTGCTGTTCTCTAGCACACCAATCCTAAGAACTTTAAATTTAAATAAATCTTTTTGTGCTTTCTCCTTGTTAGGTGCTTATAGGACTGCAGATTACAGTAATGTTTTTTTTTTTTAATGGCTGGTGAGGAGACTCTAAAGCGGCTTGAAGTTCCAAGTTATAAACTTACACTAGCACACATTTCATCACTTCATCATTTTCTTTGCTACATGAAAATGTGTTCACATTATTTGTCTGTCGCTAAGTCCTCCCCAGTGTAGTGTTCAGGGGATGTTGCATGGTGGTTCAATTTTGCAGAAATCTAATATAATAAATGAAAGAGCATAAAAAGAATACTTGCTGCAAATGCTGGGGCTGTAGAGTCTTCACAGCTTTCTGAATTTTCTCTTACCCCTTGGTATGCCTTGGGTGTAAGTAGTATTAACACGATATGTAGTACTAGATTTTAAAAAACTCATAATAGTTCCATTGTACCTCTAAGGGTTCTGTGAGAATGTGGTGAGGTTCTCTGAGGAACCAAAAACAAACAAAAGAAGTTTACAATAATAATAATAACAGCAAAAACAAGAATGACGACAACGATGATGATGATTGATGTTATTACAGATATCGTCGCAGGATGGAGGCGGTTCCTAGTAAGGCCTCCTTTTGCAATTGACTAATGGCGAATTTGTCAATGAACACCATTAGCATTGACAAATTTGCCATTAGTCAATTGCAAAAGGTGGCCTTACTAGGAACCGCCTCCATCCTGCGACGATATCTGTAATAACATCAAACATCCACATCTACCTATCTCAGGTCCTTGGTAAGGACTCGATAGGTAGAGAAAATGCCAAGTCCAGTCTGAACATCTGGCTGACTGCGATGATCCATAATAATAATAATAATAACGTTGGAAGGGGCCTTGGAGGTCATCTAGTCCAACCCCCTCTATCACTAAAGTTCTGCCTCTTGATCAGAGTTGTGAGATTTCTTTTTTAAACTAACAGATTTAATGGCCTGAAAAAAGTTGAAAATCCATCCCATGATGCACTAGTTTTACAGCACGGTCTGTAGATTGGTGCTGATTTAACAGATACACCTTATCAAAGTGCTGATGCAGATGCTACAAACAAGTTTATAAATTTAATTGTATTTATGTTGAGAAACACTCTGAAATCTTCCTCCATTTCCAAGAGTAGAGAAAGCCTTTTTAGATTTATTTTGCTGAAATGTTGCTCTCCAGTGAGGTTAGCAAAAATGCCTTTCAATTTCAGCAAGTAGTATTGCTTGGCATGTAATAGTGGATGAATGGTAACTTTTAAAGCACTACAGATCCTGACCATACCAGAATTTTAACTAGGAGAACCACAGGGTTTGCCCTTAGCTTCCCACCAGTTCAGTTTTTGCATACACTGTAGCATATGGAGCTGAACATATTTTATGAAACTTGGGCGTGACGGTTTTTCCTAATACTTTTTTACCAAAGCTTTGCTCAAGTGTTGCTTACCTGTTTCCAAAATATGTTTCTGATCACTGTACTTTACACTGACAGATTTCTATACAATCTTTTTGCCAGTAATTTTTTTAACTATATTCCTAGTGGCTTTGTTTTAGCAATATTAAAATGCTCCTCAAATTCAAGCTGCTATGTTAACTGTGAAAGGAAAACCACCATCCAATTGCACTGGTATGATTTTACTATTCCGTTTTTGGTATGAGCCCCATGCAAGAGACCGGCTACCCCCGTTTTAGTAATAAATTCTTCATCTACAGTAGTTTCTCAGCCTGGGCAATTCAATTGCTGGCTGGGGAATTCTGAAAGTTGGGCTCCCTTCATCTCAGAATTGCCAAAGTTGAGAAACGCTGATTTACAGCATTTGCTACTGCACTCCTTTTAAAGTAATGGCTTGCTAGTTTATCTCAGCGAAGGGTTTGCTTTTCCTTTAACAACAGGTTCTTTGGATATATTTCATAGAAAATATTGTGTCATTTCCACCTAACAAAGAAAAGACTCTGGAGTCACAAGCTTGGCGCTGCTCTCTCCAACCTTTTATAAGAATTATTGTTAACTCTCCCGAGCCTCTGAGAGCAAAACACCTACAGGCAGCCCCAGGCAATCAAACCACAGCCCCAGATCACAGGCATGCCTAATCAACCAACAACTACCCAGTACACTGCAGTAAGGTAAGTTAACCAAAGGGTACTGTAATGCTTGTAGAAAACGTGGTTAGAATTTGAACAACACATTAGAACTTTAATTGAGCTGGCTTAATGCTGCCCTGACTCTTATCTAGTAAATATATGTAGAAATCACACTTTGTATCTAGATTCATTTACGCAGCTGGAAGAAATTCCTATTTGCACTGTTAGAAAGCTAAATAAACTAAACCAAGGAAAACAGAACAGATCTCAATTCTGAGCCCATATGGGGATAGCCCTTTACTTCCAATCCTGTCAGTACTGCATAGTCAATCAACCAATTAAATATCTACTTTGTTGCATAATGTGACATACAAGGTTATTGTTTTAAACATACTGAGTCCAAACTTAGTCCCTGTTCTGGACCAATCAGATAGGTCTGTTTGTTAGAATGAGATGGGTTTGTATGTTAGAATGTTTGGCATTTATTGGGTTAAGCGCTGTCTCCTTAAGAGATGGCTTAAGGGTAATGTAGTTTTAGCTATTCAGCAAATCCCATGTTAACAGGTCAGTAGGAGGAGCTACTAACTTTATCATAGGATATCCTTCACTTTCTTTATAACCAAGAAAAAAGTTTATAATTTGGTAGCATGAAATATATTTAGCCTTTCAATTTCTAGATAAAGATGGGATTCTGGATTTAACCAGACATGCTCTTTTTCTGTTCTATTTTATAATCAATGTTGAACCTCTATATCAGGAGTCTTCAAACTTGGCCCTTTTATGACTTGTGGACTTCAACTCCCAGAATTCCTCAGCCAGTGTGCCTGGCTGAGGAATTCTGGGAGTTGAAGTCCTGTTAAGTCCTGAGAGCAATAAAGAGGTCCGAAGGCTCATCTTAAAAGCAACAGTACTTTTATTGGTAACAGCTTTCCAATCTGGCACTCTATGAGGCACACAGGCTCTCTTAACAACCCAGAGACCCGGACAGAAGAGATACTTTTTCCGAGCACTTTTCGTACCCTGCGCATGTGCGCAGAGCCGGCGCCACTCAGTCTGCTCCCGGGCAACTTCTGCAATTGCCCGGGACCCTTACAATGCCCCGAGCCTGTTCCTGCAGGCTCAGGAGACAACATCCCTCCCCCTAGAGGGAACACACTCTAACCTTTCTTACACAATATTTTCTGTGATCGTGTCACACATTCCATCACTCAAATGCAGGGAATGTGGACTCTCTGATGTTGAGTTTGGGCATGGTGCCCTGTATCATTTTGGAAATAAACGTATCTGAAACCAAAAAATAATAACAATACCTAGGAGGCCCCTTTTTGTTTGGCCCCCCTACTTAGACCCCCGTAAACTGGACTGCAGGTTAACATATTCCCTCAGGTTTATGGGTGGGTGTTTGGTCCGTTGTGACCTTCTCGGACCTGGTGAGGGTGCTGGGCCAGGTGAGCCCGGACATTCCTGCCCTACAACCATAGATGCCCCAGGAGCTGTTGCCTGGCCTGCCTGCTCGCCTACCAGGCTCAGCAGGCCAGGACTTGGTTGCCCCATGTACCCGGTCGACCTGCCCCTCAGCTGGCTGGCCGGACCCTCTACATCCAAGCCAGCATATCTTGGAGGGGTGGTAGTCCCCAGGTCCAAAATGGACCTTCCTTGGGAGCACTGTCCCTCGGACCCAAGGCCAGCCGATGCTGGGTCTGGATAGTGGAGTTACCCCAGTGCTCTGGAGCTTTCCCACCTGTGTCTGAGATGCCAGAGTCAGGAGTCGCCTCCCTGGCCATCCCCTTTCCTGTGGACCTCCTTCTGGGAGCAGTTGCGGGATCGTACTCTCGCCCTTGCTGGAATTCCTGTTCACTGTCCCTTTGTGCGTTGTTAGGATACCCCTGGTCAGTGTCCCTGTCTGGAATGTTATCTGGCATAAGTGAATAATGTGGATACCCCCGGTGTGACTCCCTGTCTGGAGTAATTGTGGGTGAGTGGGGTAACCCCGTCCCTTGAATTCCGGTACTGTATATTATCCTCCCCCTCCCCCCCAGAGCAGAGTCAGGAGCAGAAAGGTGAGAGTCCAATCTCCAATGCAGCTGATCTATGTGCCTGCAAATGACACGGCCGTCTCCCAGAGTGACTTCGTACGACAATGGCCCAGAGGTCTTGCAGACCACAGCTGTGACCCAGAGATGACCAGGCCCATAGTTACGTGCCCAGACCGGATCACCCACTTGGAGTCTCCTAGGTGCCCGTGGTTGCAACCTGTCCAGCTTAGTGATGAGGCGGCGACCCCAACAGAGCTAAGCAGGGCTTTTCCCCGTGACAGTGCATGGTGTGGTGCGGTGTGCAAG